AATCTCTATACACTTATATTAACAGTATTTGCAGGAATACTGCATGAACCCCTATATGTCACATATGACAGCCATCAAGAAGATAAAGATACAGAGATTCATAATGCCTGTCATTAGAGGAAAGTATTTTTCTAGCTTTTTGCCTGATACCCCAGGCACGATCATCACTGGCACATTTAGTTTGCCATTTTGGATGAAGATGCAGTATTTACTAAACTGCTTTACAGACAGATATTAATGCAAGTATTGCTGCAGAGTATGGGGATAAAGCTACTTCAGTAATTGGAAACTACCACGTGACAGGGGTTGCTATGGTATCTGCAAGCGTGACATTGTTATAAAGCAATAGTACAAAGACATAGAAAATTCCCCGATCATTTATGAACATACATGTTATAGATAGTACTTTAAAAAAAGACACAACAGCTTATTACATTGTTTCAGATATGTATGTCCTAAAAAAAGAGCTGGTTTTTTTTTTTTTTTTAATTAGCTGTCATATTACACCAAGATTAACATCAAGATTACTGTTAAAGAGAATGAAACATGCTTTTAAGACAACAGAAAATGCAAATGTACAACGTATCTGGCTACTGGTTTTAAGTGTTGTAAGTTGTTGATGAAACATCATTCCTTATTTTCATCAATTGTTTCTCTTGCAGCAGAGCTCATGTGTGCTTCAGCATGCAGTCTGCCCTCTCCAGAGGGATGAGAATGTGCCGCAGTGTACTTTGCTTGTGTTACACTGCAGTATGATTTTTTTTCAGGCAAGCACTAAGATATACGCATTTCTCTGTGTAAAAGCTCCCACTGATCAGCAAGAAAATAGAAGATATGCTAAGTAACAGAAGCCGCATGCTGGATCACATAGACAAAACCGAGATGTGCTCAGAGAATGAAAGAGAGTTGTTCCATCCTCCTCTGAAAACCATACTGCTAATGCAGAGGTTTGTGAGCCATTACATATTCTTACACTGCAGGTATTTCAGGATATTTCTCCTAATGCATTGAAAAGCTAGATAAACCTTTCTGAATATGTACAACAAAATGAGTACTGTAGGAGTTTTCTAGGCTCAAAGAACACCAAAGCACTGTTAATAACACTTCCTGTTATGACTGTCAGACACGCAGATGAGATATATACTTCATTATTTGACTCTTTTAGAAGGTTGGAGCTGGTTTGTGTGCACAGTGGAATTGAATGAATATTTCCTATTAATAAAGGCAAAGCAATCTGTGTAATTCCCCAGTGCCTTTTTAATAGACACCCTTAGGTTGTATTTTAGTAAGCTTGGATAAGTGTGGCAGTTCTTATTATCTCTAGATATATGGCCACACACTGTTTAATAGAACTTACATGCAGAAAGACCTGGCCCAGTGACAGAAGTAGTATCAAGAAGGCCACCTTTACAGATGAATTGTCACGTTAACTAGAAAAAAAAAAATTAAAAATCTATAAATTATTTGAAAAGCTGAAAGACATTTTAGTAACTGCAACACCTCTTTCTGTGGCAGAAGAGGCCATCAGTACCGAGATGATCTGGCAGGTGTTTGTGCCCTCTGCTGGATGCAGTCAGGTTTAAATTTAAATAAAAATTATATAATTATATATACTATATAATTATGTATTATTTATACATAATATATACAGTATATATATGTAATTGTTTCTGATGGCACTTTCATTCCAGAAAAATAGCTTGGATTTAAAAAAAAATATATATAGCATAAACAAATAAAAGTCCTGTGTGGGTAAAAAGGAATAAAGAAAGTTGTTTTCTCAGAAAATTTTAAGTGTGCGGATCTAATTCGTCTTTCATTCTCTGTGAACTGCAATAAAGTGCAGTACTCTCCAGCTCTGGAGTTTTGTTTTACATACTGATATACAACTAACTCACCTTGAAACATCTGTTGTATATCAACATGAAGCGCGAATGCATTTTATACCTGCAGGTAAGGGAGAAAGACTGCATGTCAAAGGGAGAAAGAATGCAGTCCTCCACACTGGCAAATTACTTCCAGGTATCCTGGAATATTTATATAATATATGAATATATTTATATTTATATTTTCTCAAATAAATGTAAAAAAAAACCAAATTTATTCAAGTAAATATATTTATATATATGAAATCTGAAAATATATTACTCTTTGGAAAGGAAAAGTTTAGAATTTGACTGCACAAAAGATTGAATAACTTCAGTTTGATTCTACTTTTAATAAAAATTAACATTGATTGTAAATTTCTAAGGTAAAATGGTTTTATAAATGACCTCATAAATGCAAACTGCTGAATTCGTAGTAAAATTGTTGTATAAATATTTCAGTCTTATTCCATGTGCTTGGTTTTTTGGTGTTTTTTTTTTGTTCTTTTTTTGTAACTACCAACCTATCCAGCACTGACTTACTGCTTGGATAAGTACTTGGATAACATTACTGCTTTGGATAAGTACTACTTGTAATTAGAATGTTAGAACAACTGTTCTACATTAAAACAGACAATCAAGCCACCAGATCAAAACTACAAAAAAAAAAAAAAAAAAAAAATAAATTTATTTACAAAAAAAAATCTTTTTTTTTTTTTTTTTTTTTTTTTTTTTTAGCTCTTCTAACCTAAGTATACAGCAGGTCTTCTTCATAACATGTGAAAAAGAAAACTGTATTAATTGCCCCATACACGTCTGTTTGCCCAACATCCTGCTGCCTGTAACCTCCTGCCAGATACAGTGCCTATCAGGCTCTGTAATGGCACTAAGTGCCTCAAGCCACCTGTGCTGTAGCCACAGCACCTCTAACAGGTCCTTCTTCATTCTCTTGGGAAGCACTGGGTTTCTTGAGGTGGATTGGGATTAAAGGGACTCTTATTACCTTCTGGGGTTATTCCTGTGACAGAACACTCAGAGCTCCAACCTCAGGGTGAACAACATCTTACAGATCCACTGCTCAGCAGTACCTTTGAGACATCCAAAATTTGGACTTGGTGCCAGGACACCACTGTAGCTCTTCCTAGAAAATTTGTAAAAATCTGACAAAACTCACATAGTTGCAATGGAATTCTTTCCTGAATTAAAAATAATAATAATAATAAATAAATAAAAATAAAAACCTTTCTGTTCAGGACAATATGGAAATTTCAGTTTACCTATATGGTGACAAGTTTATACTGATACAAGTAATCAAATAACATGTAATATAGATGTTCAGAACATATTGCTTTATCACTGAAGTTGTTAAAGTTAAGGGTGAACAATTACTTGTTGAACTGTATTAGTCTCCTACAATAAAAACCACAAAGACTAAAACAAATACATAAAAAGGTTATCTTTATTCTTCTGGGTTGTTAGCAGTGTAGTTATTTTTGGTAAAACAACATCCTGCATGCAATTTACCAGTACAGAAACCAGTTTCTGTAGAAGCAAAAGCCCATCTATAGTTTCTTTTGTAAGAATTGGAAGGCATTTCACTGCCCATTACACAAGTTAACTGTTCATTCTTATGAAGAAAGATTTTGAATAGCAAATTATATTTAAAGCACTACTACTGCACGACAAATCCACAGGACAAGCAGGCAGTGAGAATAACATGGCAGAAAAACAAGGTTTCTATGACAAAAATTAACCTGAAAATTGATAGACAAGAGCATGATTTTAAAAGAAAACTTCCATCTTGTGTCACGTACAAGGAACTATCACTGATCAGAAAAAGATCTATGCTGTTCATTTCTTTTAAAACTACCACTTACTAAAATCTGTTTTCATACAATTAGCAGAGAATTGCAATTGCCAATTCATACTGTATCTTACGTTCCCCTCCAAAAAAACCCAAAAAAACTGTTACAGATAGAAATAAAAATGATTAACATAAAGATATTTGTATTATTTCTAACATGTATAAAATATTATAAAATAAATTTATTTGCAAAATAACATGAAGAGATCAATATATATATATATTTATAGCCTCACATTTTAAGCAAGTTAAGCAGTATATTAATCTTCTATTGTCTGTTTATTCACAGCATAACACTAATAAACTCAAAATAAAATCTATAATAGCAGCAAACTATTGCTTACTGTTGTGAGGAATGATGGTCTTGCTGAATAGTTTTTTTCCTTTCTAACACTCACATGTCTTTCCATCTTAGACTTTAATAGCTGTAGAATAATAGCAGCAAGCATGCATCAGTTAAAGCTTCCCAATTATTTAGAGTATTACAGAATATATCATATAATTTACTGAAATATTAAAAGCCACATTTATGAGGGTACATATTTAATGCAATAAATATAGTACTTAGGTCATTATCTCTTTGTTCAAACAGGTACCACTGTGTAAAACAACTGACTAAGTAACAGAACAATTTTACCTATGTAGGTTCTATAAGCTTTGATGTGAAAAATTCATCTAAACCACAGTGCAGAACAAAGCTGATTCAAGTACATCATTTGGTCATATCAGCCTTCTATGGAAGACTGCATTTCATAAAGTGGAAACCTGGCTAAAGTCCTATGGGGCTCAAAGTTACCTTCAATGTACTTAGTTTATATCTTCAACATGATCAGCTTCTCGAAGTATGCTAATTTCAGCCTAATGTACAAACTAAGGCAATGTTTGTTCCAATAGGTATTTTGCTATCATTTTATACATGTAACTTTGATTACTGTATTAAATAGGATTTATATATGTGAAATTAAATTTGTAGAGACTGACATTAGAATGAAGTATGGAAGTTGTTGCAAGGTCTACATTCTTTTCTTAACTAAGTAAAATAAACTACTGCTTTTTTTTTTTTTTTTTTTCTCCAGTGATTCCCTGTAAGCAAAAATTTGGTGTTTATAGCTACTCTACGATAAAATTGCATTTTAAGCACTCATAAACTAAGAGTAACCTTGGACCCTGAAAGTAAACTAACTCTTTTTTACTAGTTCTGCATTTATCAAATAAGAAATTTTCTGTAGCATGATGCATTTAAATCATTCACTGAATAGGACTATGTGAAAAATGAAGAGTTAATAGGAAATATTAAACAAGTATAGTAAAATCAAGAGAACAAATTACTAACCTCCTTTCTGTGAAAATGATTCTTCTGTTCTGTTTTCTGATAAATTATTTTTCTAAACTATATTCTTTATCATTTGCTGTTGATTTGATGTAGATTCTAAGGTCCAAGTGTCTGGACACTCTCTTTTCTGCTTTTAGAAGCGGTGGCTTGAAGAAGACTATGTTCACATTCTGACTCTGTAATTACCTAACTCATGACATTGTGTTCCTCTGTATGAACATTTATCTTCTTCCTCAACAGAGTACAATTACAAATAATAGAATGTGAATTACAGCAAATGAGACCACCAAAGGAAAAGATACACATACATAGTAGATGAAATGCATACAGTGGATACACGTATTCCACAAACTTACTAGAACTGATAATTTTGCCCTCCATTAAGAGTCCATATAGTCCAAGTAAAAAGTTTATGTCTCCTCTCTATTAGTGCCAGCTGGTAATAAAAACTATTCTTCTGGAATGCTTGTTTCCCTGCTACATACAGGGTTTGCTACCACATGTCATTATCTCAGTACAGGCACTGACAATAGCACTCGGTAAATAAGTAAAAACTTGTCATTTTGGCATAATCCTCCAACAGAAGTGTTATTGATAAAAAAATTTCATCTTCTGAGGCTTTAAACAGCCACCACTGCCCACTTCTTTATGTCTTCTTCCACTTTTTATTTCCTTTTCTGTCTTTCCCTTTGTCTTCTTTTTCTGATTTGTCATCTTCATATTTTTCCTTTTCTTGTTTTGTTACGCTGTCATAGGAAGGTGGATATGTGGTGGATGCAGTCATATCTGTTTTTTCTGAAGTTGAATTTTCACTTAGCTTACCAAAAAGCATATAATTTTTGCTAAGTATATCAACCCCATCTTTGCGGTACATATATGAGAGTTTCTTTATTGATCGTCTTAAAAGATAACATCTATAGGCACGCTGAATAATGGTAGCAGACACTTCTTCCTGTTTCCGTTTTAATGTGGTTGTGATTGGTTCATAGGAGACTTTGGAAGGATTGGCTGCCATAAATCGGTCTTCCATCTGTACTCTGAGGGCATCCATCTCATCACTGTCCCCTAACACACGCTTTGTGAAAGCAAACAGGATGTCGAGGCAGTGAATTCTGTCACCGCTTACCATGGGCAGATCCATTGCAATCAGCTGGATCTTGTTTGGTTTTGGTATATTAAGAGGAGGATCCAGAGAAGCTGCAAACTCTGATAGTTTGCTGTATTCTATGAACTGTGTTGCATCTGGATCGTATTTTTCCCAAACCTCATAGAACATCTCAAAGTCATCCTCACCCAAGGGCTCAGCACTTTCTTCAGTTGCAACACCAAAATTCTCCAGAATGACAGCAATGTACATGTTCACCACCACCAGAAAGGATATGATGATGTAGCTGACAAAGAAGAAAATCCCAACCGAAGGGTTGCCACAGTCACCTTTAACAGAGCTCCCCGGGTGAACTTTGTTAGGATCACAGTCCGGCTCCCCACTGTTAAGAATTGGGGCTAACAAGCCATCCCAGCCAGCAGATGTGGTAATTTGAAATAGGCAGATCATGCTGTTGCCAAATGTTTCAAAGTTGAACATGTCATCAATTCCAGCTTCCCTCTTAACGTAGGCAAAGTTGGACATGCCAAATATGGCATAGATAAACATGACCAAGAAGAGCAGCAGGCCAATGTTGAACAAAGCAGGAAGAGACATCATCAGAGCAAAAAGCAGAGTGCGGATTCCCTTTGCGCCTTTAATGAGACGCAGGATGCGACCTATTCTGGCAAGTCGGATGACTCGGAACAAAGTAGGGGACACAAAATACTTTTCAATCACCTTAGCTAAAAACATACCTGTGAAACATAAAAATAAAATTAGAAGAGTAACAGAAGAGATACATAAACTACAACACAGATTATGAACAAAGAACAAATCTATCTATGCAATTTCTGGAAAACGTAATTGGAAGAAGAGTCAATAAATTTTATCTGCTATTTGTAATTCGAGCTTTTTTCCCAGTACTCATAGAAAAAAATGAGTATTATGATTGATACAGAATTATTGAGAAGGTACGACTCTGAAGTATGCTTCTCATTTCCTAAAAAATCAGAAGCAATGATAATCAAATATTCCTTTAATGTATAAAACTTTTCAAAGCATTTTATATATTACTATAATTCATTTGAAATACAAGAATTTCTTACCTACTATTGAAAGGATAACAACCACAAAATCAAAGATATTCCAGCCAACAGTGAAGTAATAGTAACGGAGCGAGAAGAGTTTTAAGACACATTCTCCAGTGAAAAGGACAACAAAAACAAAGTTAATCCAGTATAAAATATTTTGCATAAGTTCACTCTGGTCATCTGTTTCTATCATCATGGTGACCATGTTAAGACAGATGAGGACCATAATGCCGATGTCAAATGCTTGTTTTGTTACAATATCAAACACCAAACCTTGCAATTTATTCTGAGGGGAGAAAAAAGAAAACGTGACACTAGCTTGTATGTAATGAACACTCTTTTTTTTCCTGTCTTTTTCTTTCTTACTCAAAATATACTCAAAAACCTAAAAGTGCTCTTCAGTCACTTTTCTAGATTTCTGTTTCCCCCTCAAAACCCAACACGTTCCTACTTCTTAAGATCTTCTGATTCTGTATTTCCCCAGGCAAAACAACTGAGAATATTTTCCTAAAGGATGAACAAATTTCAGTTTAGAATGGAGAATTTCAATTAGGCCTAGACCATTTTAAAGTTGAGGGAGACTTTTGATAGTTAACATACTGCTGTTGCTCAATGTACATGACATAAGAATAGCATGTATTCTTACCGCTGGCCTAGGTATAGGTTTTTGTGGTTTCTTGGAACCTAATTTCTTCATTGCATTGTAGTATTTCTTTTGTTCTTCTGTCATAAAAATGTCCTGACCTCCTAGGTAAAATAAGAAAAATAAAAACCAATTACAGCCAAGGCTTACATTCCATTAATACGCAGAACATCACTTTTCTGAACTATGCATTCATTCTTATAATACACTGCTATAAAAACCAAAATACAATAATCATATCAAAGATTATTAAAGTATCTCACAAGCCTTGATGGAAAATCAAAACAAATTAAGGAAGTAAAAAAAAGGACTTCTGTTATTAAAAAAATTCAGATACAAAGATAATTCAGTTAAATATGAATGAAAAAACTTATAGAAATACATATTCTATAGCTAACAGTAAACTCCACACTATAAAACAATGAACTAGAAATAAGTTTCAAAAGTAGAAGTAGTCATTCAGAACTGATAGGTCATCAGAAAGAATGTGTGTGGTGTATAACCAAGATGTTATAATTGCAATATAATCAAAAGAGTAAGGCAAAAGCAAACAAGGATCGCAAAAGAGAGTAAGTAGAAGAGCTTACCCTTGGGTTGAGCTCACTAGAAGATACCAAAAGAGGAGGATCTCCAGAAGAGATCCTTCCCCTCTGGTAGCAAGCTCTTAAATAGGTCCAGGAGGGGTGCAGCCTGGCTCCACCCCTTCCGGCAGCACAGGTGAATTGCCTTCACCTGTGCTCCTCTGGCTGACTCAAGGCTCACCTCAGGTGATTAATCAGAGGTTCAGGCCGTGACTCAGCAGTTCCCATACAGTGTGGAAAAACGGGATTACTGACATTACTTATTTCTCAGGATGTATGTTTTACCATGGGTATACAGGTATCTCAGTTCAAATACTTGCTGCTGCAATAGAAATACTTCCACAGTGAGTATCTGGTGTTCGATTATCCACTACACTGTGCAGAGAGCATCAATAAGCACTGATACACTTTTTAAGTTTTCTTGTCTGAATTTAAGGTAGGCAATTCGAGTAAAATAATATCTAGATTGTTATGTGTAATACACATGAAAATATTTAGCAAAATTGTATTTCTGACAAGTGACTTTCCTTCCATGCATTTGGTTTTACATACAGGCATTCGTGATGTCAAAGCATTTGGAAATGAATTTCAGTCTAGATGAATCTGTGACTTTGTCAAAAATAGTGTTGATCATATTTATCGATAATGTGAAGATGTGTTTGAGCCTTTCAGCTATGGCTACATGCAGACATGAAGGTCAGAAATCAAAAGAGATTTTTTATAGTATGTTCTCTTCATAAACCACATGTTCAAGTATAATTCATTTATTAGAGACCATAGGTCCTGGAACTAAAGCAAAAAGTCAATTTGCTGATTATGGTGGAGAATAATGAAAAATCTATCAGCAGATTTTACTCAGCAGGAATTAAAAAAAAAAAAGAACTACAAAGGAACTGGCGTTGAACTGAGGACTACATCTGCTCTCTCACTGACGTGTGATGTAATACCAAGCAAGAGTTAACATCGCTGTCTCAGTGTGCCATCCATTGGGAGAATAACTGACTCAAAGTGGGATAAACATTACTCAACATTATAGTTGAAGACTTTAATGGTTAACAATTTGACAGCTAGTGGGATGCACACAAGGACCAAAGAAATCAACATAGTTTAACTACACAGAGAAAGTATATTCTAACGTAAGGCCTTTCCCATATCTTAAAAACACTGCCCAAAACAAATAGCTCATTGTGATGTGAATGCAGAGCAAAGACAAGAATATTGCTGCATTTCTATGAGCAAAGGTGCCTCTATAAATACAAAAGACAAGCCAGTAATGGCTGCTAATTTGTTCTATTAAACTGAAGAGTAGCATGCAGACAGAATGTTCCCCAGCCTGTTCAACTATTTTGGTGACAGAAGTTCAAAGGATGTACACAGACACCACACTGCCAGAAAGAAACCTTATGAACATTTTTCTGCCTTTTTGAGTCATAATGACTACAGTAGCCAGCATCTGCCAATTTACAACCATCTCTTTACTGGACATGGTAACCCCAGAACATAGAGACTGATAGAAATATCAACAGCATATATATAACTTCCTAAGTCTTCCTCTCCCAGGATCAGAAGAAACAGACTCAGCTTCCTCTTTAGTCCTGGAATCCTCTGATGTTATTCAAGGTGCCTGTGTGGGGGAAGAAACTTACTGAAGGATAAAGACAACATCAGTTTTATAACTACAAACTGTTTATATTTGGATAAGCACACAAAAGACTCAAAGGATCTGATGAAGCAACATATGAAGCTATAAACTCTAATCTCAGTTGGTAGGTACTTTTCCAAGATTATCTTTGTGGAAAAAAAACCCAAATGTGTACTGGTAGATAAAAAATAATGGTCTGACTCCATAGGGTGGATATCACAAGCCATGCTGGGTGACCTCTATGGTATAGGCCAATCTCTCTTTCCTTCTGAAGGACTAAAGAGGGAAATGAAAAGAAAAACTGAATCAAAATAGAAGAGAAATCAGAATAAAATAGTTCCTGTGCAACTATGAGGAAAAATAAAAAAGCAACACCAAAGCCCCTATTCTGAGAGGCAGGTATTTACATACAACTCAGTGAGAATAATTTTATACAACTACTTAGGGGAAAAGAAAAACATTGTGAAAGAGTTAAAAAGTAAACCCATCTCAAAACTCAAGTGAGAATATAAAGACAGTCATCAATGGGTAACACATTTCTTCATATTTTAGATTTCATAAAAGCTTTACTCTTTTTTGTATAACATGACAGAAAACATTCCACTGGATCTATTCAGCCAAGATTATCTCACAAATTTATCATCAGGATTAGACTTAGCCTAACAGAGGGCCTCAAGAGATTAAGAGATGGAAAGAAACGTTTGTAGATTTCTGCCCAGGATATATATGGAAACACTGGAATTTTCCAGTGCAATATGTCTAGCAGTATCTTTATTTTAGTACAGTGAATAAAATTTGATAAATCACCTGAAATTGCAAGTGAGTCTACGAAATGACTCTCTGATTCTAAGAAATTATATTCTACTTTGCTATTATTTAGTGGCACTTATTTTTTTTCTAGGTAAATAAGACTCCAGCACTCTGCTCCTTTCATATACAGACAAAGAAGCCTACCATAGAAAACATTCAGAGTTTAGATAGCAAACAGAATTTAACTTGCCATCATAGGATGCATTTTAATCTATTTTAATCCTTGTGGAATTTTTGATACAAACTTACGCTCATTTGAATAACAGAAACCATTTCAGCTGAGGGAAAAAAAAAGTCCCCCACAAAAAAACAAAACAAAACAAAACCACCAAGACACATTTTCACACATCAATAATTTTCTTTCTCTTGCAAACTCATTAACAACTCAAGACAGTTAACCAGCTCTCTTTATCTTCCGTTTCTTTGTACAGATCTGCATAACACTTAAAGACAATGAAGTATGAAGAAAATGAAACATGTTGACACTTATCTTCTTTTTTTGTTGGTTAAAGTTATCTATGATGACACCAATGAACAAGTTTAGGGTGAAGAAGGATCCAAAGACGATAAAGGCAACAAAGTAAAGATACATGTATAGGTTATCCTCGTACATGGGCTGTTTCCCTACCTATGTAACACAGAAAAACAGAAATACATCACCAACAACAGTAAAAACAGATTATAGAATACTATAAGAAGAGAAGAACAGAAGCTGTGTTTAGCCAGACAGCAACAAAGAAAGAAAAATGGGGGTAGCGCAACAGTTATTTTTGGAGAACACCCTAAACTTGTTCAATCTTTGATCATGTAAATTCATTCAACGTCTCTTATTGCATACAAATACTTGCAATTCCTCTTTAAGGTCATGTATAGCTTCCTAAATTTGAAAGAAGTATATGAAAATCTCAAAAGTAAATCACTTGCTACAGATTTTATACAAAAAGGAGCTAGAGAGACAAAAGATGCAAACAAATACCTGCATTAAAACAGGCAAAGTTCTGCCATTTTATTATTTCAGATCACAGAATGTGACTTTGTATTAGCTACTGCACGTAACTTTTTTTATTTTTGGGAACAGGAAAAATCTCAGTTATAAACATCCATACAAAACTAAATTTCACTAGTTAGATTACTCAATTTACATATATACATTAGTACTTCTATGTATATTCTACCTACTAAAAGTACACGCATTTAATTTCTGTAGAAATTAACTACTAATAATAACTAATAATATATTTAATAGGTTTAACTTTAGACCTATAAAGAAAAAAGTCAAAATTTTATGTTTTTTTAATGTTACTTTATTTCAATTAGCATTCAAGAAATAATCTGATTTGCTTAAAATTGGTAAATTTTACATTGCACTTACATCCCTAGAGTCAACAGCAGCATACATGATTTCCATCCATCCTTTAAATGTTGCCTAAAAACAAAGTTTGTTAGTTTCCATCAAAGCTTCAAATAAGAAGAAACATCAAGTATTTCAAACATTCTGAACTACAAAACCTTTTTGCAATGTACTTGTACAAAGAAGTAGCAGTAAATGCTAAGAGATGGTGGTAAGAAATGAACTATTCAAAAAATTAATTAAGTGTGGAATGTTCCTTCTTAATAAATAAGCGCTGAACAGATTATAATCTTCATGAAAATTCACGTAAATTCTATGTGGAGTGAGTTGAAATAAATATCTGAACATTCAAGAAAGACTGCAGCGTACAACAAAGTTCTCAGCTCTTAGAAATTTCTGACAACAGAAACTGGAGAATGCCACCACTGGTTGGCATTTTCAGGCCTAATATGTAAGTAATTCTAAAAGAAAGTCCAGAATGTAAGTAGTCCCAAGAAATCTTTTTAAATTATGCAATTGCTTAGCGACATTTAGAAATAACTACTACTTCTCCCTTGAGCAAGCAGCTGCCAGCTAACTCGCATAATACTAACTACCCACAACCAGCTGGAGAGTTTAAAAGACAAAATAATGGCCAAGTGCTTATCAACACAAATGTTTTCCCAGAAGCAGTTTGTCAAGTGAACCTGATTAAGAATGCAAGTTTCTGTCCTACTGCCTCCAATTTATATGTGTTGCAGGTGGAATGCAGCTATCAGGAATAAGAGAAAGAACAGAAACGAAAAAATGAATTTAAAATCTTTTTCTTTTATCTCTTTATTTCCATATCAATAGTGAAATGTGTAAGTGACGTGGAGAGAACCACTATTATTATTTGAATAAGCTCTGCAGTGTATCTGAGTATGATGCTAAAAATCTGCATCAACATGCCTTAACACCTTAATGAATCAAACAAATGATTTAAAAAAATCCCAGTGGTTTTTTTTTTTTTTGGTTTTTGTTTTTGTTTTTTTTTGAGAAGAGGGGTAGGGAGGGAGAGATTATATTTTTACATTTTTTATTTCTATAGAATTGGAAAATGAGTAGCTGGATGTAAAGAAATCTTACATTTACTTGGAAGATATTAGATATTTGTCTTCTTCCAAAACATCTGTAGAATCTATGAGATTGTTACCATAATCAATTGTAAATAGCTTCATAGAATAAAAATACTTTATGTATATATTGTAAAACACTGAACACTGAAAATTATGGAATGAAATGCTACTGCTACACAACTTTAAGCTGGAAAAATTTATCAAAATTTATACACTTACTACTTGAAGCAGAGAAAGATAACCAGCTCCAACATTATCGAAGTTTACTTTCACATTTTTCCATTGAACATCTGATGCAGTGCTCCTACGATTTTCACACATAGTTTTGTTATCAACTTCATCTGGTTTGAACTGAAGTCCAGTTGTGGTGTTAACACAGTAAAAGAACTTGCCAGCAAACAGATTTACTCCCATGATGCTGAAAATTAGCCAGAATGTAAGACAAACCAGAAGCACATTCATTATGGATGGGATTGCTCCAGTAAGAGCATTCACAACCACCTAATGAACAAACACAGAAAAAAACTTTCAGAAACTATATGCTTACATTTATACCTAAATAGCAATGATCAAGTTGTGCTTTTTTTCTGAAATAAAAGATGTAGAGTAAAACATCAGAATATACTGAAATAATGCATATAAAAAAAAGAAAAACATAATAGAGTCATCCACTACTGTTTGCCTTGCTACTGCACATGCAGTTCCGTGTTTCTCAGTGATTTAATAGCTTATTAGGCACATTTTTATGAAATTCTTTTGCACATTATTACATGGTCTCCTTTTTTCTTACCCTCATTCCTTCGAAGCGTGACAAAGCTCTTAGAGGTCTCAAAGCCCTTAATGTTCGGAGAGATTTAATTGCACCAAGTTCTGAGAAACCGAGAGCATTAGCTACTAAGCTAACTAAGGAGACCTAGAAGAAAAAGAACAATCTTTTCTTTTTAAAGTATCCTCACAATAAAAATGTAATACCTAGAAGGAAGATTAATTCAATCTGGATATTGGAGGCACAAAAAAGGGAATATAAAGTTGTCTGCAAAATTCAGAATAATTTAAACAAAAATAAATGTTAATCTCTAGAAATTAGCCTTGCAACCTAGTAAACAGTAGTAAGTACTGTACTAGTCAAAATGAGGAATGTTGATTCACAACTTTTTGAAGTGATGCATTTGGCCACCACTCTCTGTTTTCCTCAAACCTTTTCTTTGTTACCTCCTTGCTCTCCCATTCTTTTACTCTCTTCATGACATCCCAATCTTCACAGTGCTTCACCAGTAAGTCATTAAGCCCAGAATCAGCTGTCCTACTACAACCTACGTGCTCCCTCCATCTCCCTTCTGTGTTTGCTTCCTCCTTGCTCTGTTACTGAATACAAAAGACTGAAATCCTTTCAAATAATACACCTCAATCACTGACTGAGACCCAAAACAGCAAGACAGAGACTAAAGAGATGGAGTTAACAATAACATATAAATGAATTAGTATTTAGCTACTCATTACATAATTACAACAGAAACTCGTTTATCAATATATCATTCTCTTATTTTTAACTCAATTTGTATTCTTCACTGCATATTTACACATCAAATTGGAGTTGCATGAAATGACTAGACTATACACCAGAAATAGGTTACATAGAGACTATAGTACCTACATCAACAATCAGGAAGTCCAGCCAGCACCAGGCATTAGTGAAGTAAGTTTGAAAACCATAAGCCACCCATTTTAGCACCATTTCCAGAATAAAGATATAAGTGAAGATTTTATCAGCATAGTCCAGTATGACCTTGATAGTCTTGCGCTGTTCAATATATATATCTTCAAAAGCCTGTAAAAAATGGGTTGCATGTAAGTCAGATATTAATAGGACTTTGGAAACTAAGAAGCCATAAGAACTGATGAAAAAAAGGCAAAGAAAAATTGCTTTTTTAACTATTTTTTTTAACCTTGAAAAGCCAGCATAAGCAGAGACAATTGGATTACAATATAATGAGTAAAGTTGCCAAACAAGCTTTTAAAAAATTTTATTAATAATCAACACGGAATTACAAACTGTCACTCTGATAAGCCCACTTTGACTCAAAGAGAAGGCAGACTCCTGATGATAATAAATACAACCAACAGAAGAGAAAAATAAGAGAACGTGAACAAATCAGCATTTGTACTGCTTTTGAAGACAATTTTAATTTACAGCTGAATATCTGTTCCAGTTATTGTTCTAATTTCCTCAACAAGATTTTAAGTATAATCCTCTTGATAAGCACCCTTTCACACATGTATCATCTTGTATTCATCATAACTGACTTGCAGAAGGTTATTTGACAACAGAATTTTAATGATTTTATATGCACTGGGAAAATATTATGGGAAGGTCTCCTTTTAATCAACTCTCAGTTTTTCCTTAGTGAACATAAGTATGTTTTAACATATGTTTAAAACATATTTTTTATCTATACACTGTTTCTATGGGTGTATGTTCTACTTACCAGAGTACCACTGCTGAGAAGAATCATGAAGACAATGAATGTTTCAAACCAGTTGTGTTCTACTATCCTGTAGCAAGTTTTTCTAAGGTTCCACCAGATTATTCCTCTTCTGCTTTCCATATTGCATCTACAGCATTTAAACTTCTGTATACAACCTAACAATACAATCACAAGCCATTATAAGGTTTTTGAATCATAGAATCCTTGGAGTTAGAAGGGACCTTTAAAGGTCATCTTCTCCAACTCCCCTGCAATGAACAGGGTCATCTACATTTAGATCAAGTTGCTCAGAGCCTGGTCCAGCTTTGCCTTGAAAGTCTTCAGGGACAGAGCATCTATCACCTCTTTGTGCAACCTGTTCCAATGTCTCACCACCCTCATTGTAAAATACTTTTTCCTTACACTGAACCTAAATCTCCTCTCTAAGTTTGAAATGAGTTCTTCTTGCTCTGTCAGCACAGATACTGCTAAAAGTCTGTCCCCTTCTTTCCTGCATCTCCCCTTTTTTTTGCCCCTATGAAAAGCAAAATTAATCACATTCTAAGATTTAAATCAGGACCTGGAGCTGCACTGGCAAAAAAGCTTCCTTGAACTGCAAATGCTTGTTTCCAACAATTGCTAACTTCAAATTTCATTTTCATACCTTCTGTAAAACATGTCTGTAGCTCTGCTGCTTTTTCTGGTTCAGTCTCAGCTTTTTCTTCAAAGAGAGCCAAATTAACTGTACTTCCTTCAGATGAGCTGGAAAGATTTATCTTCTGAAAATAGAAGTCCATAGTAGCAGTTATACTTTCGTATTATTTATATTTTTAAAACTGAAATTAATATTAAGCATGCAACACACTGTATCAGTAACAATAAGAACAACACTTGTCACACTTGTCACACAAACATCCACATATAGCAGTCAATGCTGTTGAAATGTGCATAAATCATCTCCTTTCTACCACCAGATAGTAGCATTATGCAGTATTTTACTGAATTCCAGAAATTCTGGAATTATAATACAATGTTAGAATTCCTCAAAAGTAACTACAAACAAGTAGATTTTTAAATACTTTCTTTTTTTTTTTTTTTTTTGGTCCACTATTTTCTTTCTATATTCTATCTATGTCTGTACATTTTAAATCAATATGAATTATACTGTATGCTTTAGATAATATATGTTTGTAATTGCTTTCATCATGGCAGTCTCCTCAACCTTGACAGCAAAGTTCTTGATAGTACAAGCTAACTACTTCTAGCATGTGACAAATTTACAATAAAATTTGGTTACCGTTGATTAATAAATATTAATACATTTACGTTCTTTTTGTTTCAATATAATGATCATTGGTAGATTGGAAAATGCTAAAATCCAGGATAATTATAAAATCCTGTTTCAAATTTGAACATGAATTTGAACACTTCCCTAATACATTTGTAAAACGAATTATGCATGCCCTATGTTGACATATAGTTATTGCTACAACATGAACACTTTTGTTTTGTTTTTCAAATGTAATCAAAAGTTTTGAATAGGAAAAAGTATGACCAATACATTTCAACTGGCATTAATATGCATTTATGCAATCTCTTTTTTTTTTTTTTTGTCAATGCACATATGTATTACATCGTGCATTATGAAACTACCTGTTACTCTGGTACGCATACCTGTACAGTTAACACCTTGAAAGAAAAGGTATATATATATTTTTTTTAAATAATTGCAATAGTACTAAAACAAATGCTAATAAAAACATAAGCTCAATTTTATTTTTTATCATGTAATATCCATGTACCTTGCACTCAGTCCATAATCTGGAGATTTTAAATGAAGAACGTGGTGGCCTGTACATTTGATCTAGGTATGAGTACCAAACTAAGTCTAAGTAGTTTTTGTCATGGCATTCTCTGACATTTTATGATCTCATTATGAAAAGTACATAATGTCAGACACAGATTCACTGAAACACAAGTAAATGTCTGTAGGGAATGATGTAAGCACACTTTGTAAAACAGCCTGAATTTCGTACAATTTACATCATTTTCATGAATTTGCTAGACTTACACAATTAATAGGTATTTAAAATATAACAGCAGACAAGTTGAACTACTTACACCTCATTTTTAAAATGAGTGAAAACAAAACTTTTAATGAAAGTCTACTTTTTATATACACACGTTTGTGAAAGAAGGTAGAGACTACTTAATAAGAGAAACTAATTCAGTGTTCTACATTAACTTTTATTGAAAATAATTTTATATTTCCTATTTTGCAGCTATTTCAAAAATTGTCTGAAATAGAACTCCAAACTTACTCACGTTTAATGTAAACATCTCTATTCATTTTTAGAAGCATTAATTTTAAAATACAAATATTCACAGCAAATCTTTTCCCAGTCGCTAATCCTACTGAATCTGAGAAGAGCATTATAAATGCATTATTTTATTAATATTCTGCTTTCATCATTCCATGACATAGCTAATATTTTTAAAAATGCTGCAGCAGTGGTGGGAAAACTGAATTTATGAACTGAATTATAAAACACAAAAATAATTACATCTTCTTATTTTTAACAGTAAGGAAGTTTTGTGTCATATTGCTAGTAGAAATTACAAAAAACACTCAGTGCTCTGGGACATCTGAACTGTGAGCTAATTAATATATCCTTCTAAACAGATGATATGAATTCAAGTGAAAGAATACAGATTTTTAAGTGTTACAAACAGCAATGGAAGAACAACTGTAAAAATAAAAGAAACTGAAAAAAATCAGAATCACAAATTTGGAGAGGACCTACAAGATTATCTAGTTCAACCGTCCTCCTATCACTATTACTACCCACTAAGCTACTAAACTATAATAGCTACCATCTCGTAGCACCTCATCCAGACGCCTCTCGAATACCACCAGGGAGGGCGACTCCACCACTCCCTGAACAGGCCATTCCAGCGCCTGATCACCCCTTAAGAGAAAAAGTTTTCCTTGTGTCTAATCTGAATCTCCTCTGGTGCAACGTGGTTAGAACAGGAAGTTAGGTATCTCATTTATTACATAATAGAATAATCAGAAATTACAGAGTATTTTAATTTTTTAGCTCAAAAATATTTTTGACTCTAGGTGAAAACTGAAAGCTCTATGAACTATTCTAATATAAAAGATAGCTGGCCTGGTTCACTCCTTCTAAGATATAAGTTATAATCCTGGCCTTGAAGAGTAACAGGTTTAATCAAGTTCCAGCTGTCTTCTTTATGTGACATACAAACATTTCCCACTCATATCAAACAACATCACCACCACCAAAACTGGCAGTTAAAAAAAAAAAGAAATATGCACAGAAAACTTTCTTGTTTTGACTAAATTATTTGCTAAGCACGAAGTTTGCAGAGATTCAACAGATTTTATGAACTACTCCAGTGGGAGGAGTTTTAGGAGAGATGGTTCATACTTCACCTTTGAGAACATTTAGCTGCCGTTCAGAATATACCAAACTCAATTAAGAGGGTCTCACTGGTTATACACTAAAAACTGGACTGAATGGATTATCAATGTACTCAAAAGTTGGTTAGGTGATTAGGCTTGCAGATCAGAAGCTAAAACATTTTTGGTCATTAATATAATATTACCCTCATTAATACTCTTTTTTTTTTTTTTCTTTTTTTTTTTCTTTTTAAGATGGAAGTGTTACTGTTGGCAGTGAAAAGTTACTCAGATTTTGAGTACATTTACTTCCAAACCTACTGTAGTGGTATAAGGTCAAAATCTGGAGCTCAGGATTTCTTTCTTTCTTTTAGGGAACTGAAGGTATAATGGCACAAAGACAATAATATTTACATTCAATTATCACGCTGAAGCCACTTTTGATTGCTTTAGGTAATTAGTAAAGCATAAATTTGTAGTGAGCATCATCTCAAATATAACAAATGAAAGCATGGAAAATTGCAGATGATGAATTTACAAAAAACCTTCCACAACGAGACCAAATAATAATTAGCTCACTGACCATTCACATGGTGCAACCTATTGCACATCAACTTATAAATAATTCAATTTTTAATATTCAAATAGTAAGGGAAAATCCAATATAATTCTCTAATGTTAAAGCAAAGAGCAAATGTACCATTAACACAACTGTTAATGACAGAAATAAAAGGAAAAAAAAACCTGTAACATATAAGTGAAAAAATAAAAACCTAAAAGAGAGAAATGAGAAAATAAATTACTAGTGTTGCTTAAAAGAAGAAAGAGAAAAGAATGAGTAAACAGTTCACAAATCTCTACTAGTTAAAAGTAAAAAACAGTTGTTGGTAACAACCCACTCGAGAGGATTGGATGGGGCCCTGGGCAGCCTGGTCTAATGCGGAAGTTGGTGGCCCTGCATGTGGCAGGGGGGTTAGAGATTCATGATCCTTGAGGTCCCTTCCAACTCAGGCCATTCTCTGTTTCTGTGTGTAATAAATATTACTATATAGAAATGCAACCGAAACTCTTAGCAAACCCGTTACACCACCTTCACTCCACAAATTCTGTATTTCATTGCTTAATCCATTCTATTTTCAGCTATTTTCAGTTGTTGGGAAGATATTTTCCCATTCCACCTCACTGAACAGCTTGCAAGCCCAAGGCACAAAAGTGAGACCTGAAATACTTCTAATATATAATACAGCACAAAAGAATACACGAGAGAGAACATGGGATACTACAACAAAATCACATTAACAACAACAAAAAAAGCTACATGGAAAATGATCCCTAAATGTTAAGTGCGAATTCCCACTTATTCAGAAGAGATAATCAGGGACAGGAAATATGTAACTGATATAACTAATGTTTGTTTCATAGTTTTCGAGTTCCTGAGTTAAGAGTTTTGTGAGGGTACTATTTGCTACCTTGTTTTTAAAAACAGTTGTCTTAACTGTAGCCTTATTCTTTACTTTCACAATTTTTGTATTTTTTTCTTGCTCATCTTTCTCATTTTCAATTTTTCAAGAAAGCCCAGATTGATTTAGACACCTAAATCCTACACGAAAAATTTGACTAAAATTATTTTTAATATCTGTCTTTATAAGTATAACTGAACTAAATTCACAATGAAACAATTATTCCTGATGAATAGCTACAGTGATATGAGTTATTAACTTCCAGTGTTAGGCACACATAAACTTCATAAGCAGAATATAACTACATCATTACAACCACATTCAAAAGGAGTATGCAAAATAGTAATAATAAGAAGAAACTTGTTTTACTGTTCCCAGGAGTATATCTTTCATTCTGTTATTTTAGCTTCCCCTAAATGAAAAACTGAAGTATAAATGAGAAAACAAAAACAAAAACAAAAACAAAAAACACCACCATTTTGAATAAATAGGAGACAATTTATATTGAAAGTTATAAACATTTTAGCATACACGTAACTATAAGATTAAAGAAGATCATTAGGCATTGGGCAAATGAACACAATCACAAAATGTTTGTAATTACATGACAATTAAAAACACGGTTCAACAGATGAACAGAACAAATGAAGATTACCTTTCCATTTTCTTAAAGCCACAGGCTGCTAATCATTTTAGACCCTGAATAGTCTTGACAACAATTCAGTTTACAATAATTAAAGCCTACAAAGCATGCAGCTTATGCAACAGAAGTAGTACAGAAAATACCAAAGATGTAACAAGGACAGAGGAACATGTTGGGGCTCCGCCCAACCATGCTGCGATGCGAGTCATGGGACTCAGTGGCTGTGCATGTTTCCACTACATTGCAATGGATGGAGAAAAATATATTGCAACTGAGTAGCATGCAGGCCAGTCAATCTCAAAAGTGATCGTATATATGCATGATTCTTTTAGATAACCTGTGTAAACGTGCTGACACGTTGCTCTGCCTGGTTAAAAAGCACCAGAGCTGCATTCTTGACTGATCCAGCTTGATTTTACTCCTGTGAGAAGAATGGTACGCAATGAAGTTAAAACATGGTACCCCCTTTGGATTGTTTGAGTTCTGGAAACAGTAGAAGTATGGATTGATACTCATTTAAATATGTTTTCCAGACATATTACACGTTTTCAAAACATAACATTTATTACTGTTGCTTAGAGCTTCAGGAATATCCAAGGACACACTGAAGAAGATAAAATTAGTAGAATAGATGTGGCTCTTAGGTTTAACTTTGGCCTGAAATGTAGAGAAAAGTTATTCCTAATCTTTACTACATGCTAAATGTATATCTATGATACACTTTCAGAAAGAAGCCGTGTGACAAAAGAAAACAAAACAGAATTCAATTCTATTGGGTCAAACACAAAAACTTCTAGGTAAATAGTATCATCAGTAGACTAAGGATTTATGGTACATTACGGATTGCAATAGGATTTGTTAATCAGTTCTTAAATACAGAACAGTAAAGATCCAGGTGCCTTCAGCTTCTGCATAATTTACATACAAGATGTAGATTTAACAGTTATCAGAGCAGAAGAATTCCTGAATTCAGACATTCCTTCCCCAAAACCAGTATATTTTTAAACATACAAAAGCCAGCATCCTTCCTTTTGATTAACAGTAAGTGAAAGATGTAGCAGCTGTTTGACACGTCATAGCTTCCCTACAATGCAAAACTAATACCATAAAACAAGTTACGAATATATGTTTGTTTTTAAGAGGTCTCTTGTTAACTTAAGGTCTGCTCAGCTGAGAGGTCAACATAGTGCATTGAGTAACAGAATCTCCAAAAAGAAGATGGACAAAATCAGGCATTCACTATTTCAATACCTGTTTTCCTGACAAATGCAATAAAGTTACTCACCATACTCTACAATAAAAGAAACACCTTAAGAGTCACTTTATTACACCTTTCAAATTAAATTTAATTAGACTTTGCTGCAACAAACTCATTTCTAAAATAATTTGAAAAGAATAAGGGCAAATTCAATGCCAACATAAAACAAACACAAACCAAGAAAAAAACAAAAATACCCCAAACACCAAAACAATCTGGACACACCAATCTAGACTGGAGTAGGGATGTTTGCATCAGCACTGACAGTCCTAAAGCTGCCCCAATTTAAGGTAAAGCAGATGTCTTTGAAGTGGCTGCTGCAAAATTCCCACCAACAAAAATTAAATATTTTCATTAGTAGTTGTATTTTTTCCTTGTCCTTTTAATACATCATTTTCACCTTATAATACTACCACTGTCTACCTGACTTTTTCCCATAATGTAAATTTAGAACTGGAAAACCGTTCCTTCTATAATTAGCTTTAGTTAGTACCTTCTTAGCTTATCCTACACAAAGCTGAATTCAGCGCGCTTTAGAAATCAGATGCAAATAGCATTACTATTTTTTTTTATTATTATTATTTTTTAAGATGTCTATTTACTGTTTTTTAACAGCAGTTTACTTGCATCCTTACTTCAGGGAAACATTATGCTCATATACTAAACCAATGTCTTTTGTCTGTTTATTCTTATTATATAATTTATTCCTATACAAAATAATATTATTTGATATAATAATAATAAAATTCGATATTAATTTGTCTATCCACCTGAAAAATTTGGAAAAGACTACTTTTCAAAACTCTTTTATAATGGTTTCATATGTCTTCAAATAATTTTGCCTTTAGCTCCATGTTTCTCAATTCACAATTCATTCTCAGTCCAGTCCGGCAATCTGAAATTGTAATAATTTTCTATTTGCAACAAGGAAGTACTACCATAAGAAAAAAAACAAGTGTTCTATGACAGAAGATCACAAAAGTCATTCATATAAACAGGAAGTCATTTAAATCTTACCTCCTTGCTTTCCTCCAAATCTGAGTCGCTACTAAACTCTTCCGTATTTATATGTTCAAAGTCAGATTCTCCAACAGCTATCGGTACTGTAACAGTAAGGCTTGGGTTGTTTATGAACAATGGATAGTCACTGTTCCCTACAACACCAGCTGTTCCATTCTCATTTTTGTGGTAAGTTGTATCTATCTTTATTTCAGCAACGGTACAGTTGGAAATGCAATGGTGTCTTTCATCATTCAACTGATCTGTTGCTGTTCTTTCATTTGCAGCCACTTGTTTCTTCCAGCAAGATTTTTGAATATATTCACCTACTTTTTCCTTCACAAAATCTATTCCCTTCTGAATTCTTGAAACAGCTATCTGTAAATTATTCATTTCATTATCATCCTCGGTAGGAGAAAGGCTGTCTGAACTAAATGAACTCAGCAGCAAGGCCAGAAAAAGGTTCAATACCTGAAAACAAAGAAAATACACCTGTTTTTTTTTTTTTTTTTTTTGTTAAATTTAATTCACATGTTTCTTCTATCACCTACTATAAACAACTTAGATTTCACTTTTTCCACTGTGTGATTCTGGAAATTAAACAGTAAATAAAATGTAAATGAAATGTAAGCACAATACCTGCTCTACACACAAAGCAGTTTCATTTTGACAATAGAGATACAGAAATACAAGCTACAAAAATTTCTAAGCTCTCCTTCTGCTCATGTTTGTGAAAGGGTATTAAGGTCAGAAATGAATGTATTCAACAATGACTGAACTGATCCAAAACATTTACTTCTCTAGCATAGGGAAGCACTCTGCATCAAAGCATAGTTGATCTATGCAGAAATTGTTTTTTTAAAGGCTGGTACAAACCCACACATATTTTGCTATATGTGACTTAAGACAAAGCAGCCCTTCCCTCAATTCTTAGGTCTCATCATCTTCCAATTGCAAGACAGAATAAATTTCAGTTATGTAAGTCCAGGGTTCACTAAAACTCTAAAGGTATTAGATAGAGCAGTATCCAATTAACCTGTACAGTAGCAGCTCTTAAGGTCTTCAGACCAAGATCTTCTAGGCAGCTCTGAAGACAGAGTAAAACTATATTGTTGGGAATACAGGAAGACAACTGCATAACAGATCTCTGAAGAAACAGTAGAGATTGTCTATTCACATAAGAAATTCTGCTAGAGCTATGGTATAAAATCAAAATACAGTGAATGCTGTGAAAAAATTATACAGATGGATACTTCATTACACAAAGATCTCTCTTCTAGCATAGAAGAAACTATAGTATAGAAAACTATTTGACAAGGATATGTTGCTTGACAACTCATGCCCCCATTTTCTTCATTATAAGAGAACAGATTTGCAGATAATCCTGGAGCAAATGGCTGTTCCACAAGTAACATGACTGGTTTGAAACTATTTAGCTTATTCCTATTAGAATTTCACTGCTAAAGAATGAAATCAGGATGGCTAATTTGAAACCTCTTTTGCTGCTGTCAATTACCTAAAGAAAAGATGTAGAATTTCACAGGAAGACTCAGTGGGCAGTGAGAAAAGCAGAATAAAAGGCTGAGAGATCAAGGTTTCAAACACTAGTGAGTTAATAAATATAAATCATGTTTTAAAAGACAAATTCATACATGGCAATGTACAAACTGGTCTCATGCTTTCCTCTTTCAGAGAGAAAGAAGGTATTTTAAAGTGTTTGTAAAAAGCACTTAAGAATTGGGAAGAAAAAAATGAATAGGAGTGAAAGTAAATGTGAAGTATTTGAATCTGTTTTTTTAAGCAATACTACTGCTTTCCTACTCAAATTTCCTTTCCCCCCCCACTGTGTAAAAAGTCAGAAGTAAGTAGGGTTCAAAATGGATTGAACTTCAGAGAAAAAGAATTTTAAAGCAGTCTTTTGGACAGGAAAGAAAACAACTGGCTATGTGTAATTTCAAGTGGTGCCATCACTGACTAGGAAGAAAATGCCCTCTTAAGTCTGCTTGTGCCAATGGCAAACTCCTATCCAAGGTGAATATTTGTCGTGCCTATGCTACTCTAGGTAACCAGATTAGTCCACAAAGCCCTGAACACATGATGCTTCTCCTCCTCACTCATATCCCCTGAATTTTACCCTGAGATCCAGCCTCCATTTTGAGGATTTTACTTAGGATCAGAAATATAACATGCAGAATCCATATTCTCAGCACTCAAAATCATAAAAAAACATTTAATACATTTAATGCTACAAAACTGCTTCATTACTTGTTTCATTATTATTCTTTCTCTACATTAATTCTTGATTTATTTTGGCTACATACCACTAGGTTTCCAATCACCATGACCATCATGAAGACAGTAAGGCACATAGGCTGCCCTGCAACCTCCATGCAGTCCCACATTGTTTCTATCCATTCTCCACACAGCACTCGGAATACAATCAAGAAAGAGTGGAAAAAGTCATGCATGTGCCAGCGTGGAAGTTCGCAGTCGCTAGAGATCTTGCAGACACATTCCTTGTAGTATTTCCCAAACAGCTGCATCCCAACCACAGCAAAAATGAACACAACGATGGCCAATACCAGGGTCAAATTGCCCAAAGCCCCCACTGAGTTGCCAATAATCTTAATCAGCATATTTAGAGTTGGCCAAGATTTTGCCAACTTGAAAACTCGAAGCTGAAAAATGAAAATACAGAGACATTATTTGAAGCAGTTACAAAAATACTACAGAAATATATTATAATAAAGCATTCATTTTTCTGAAGGGCATAAAGATATCCTTTAAAGATTAATTTATGAAATTTATAAATCCTACATTTTAAAAGAAAAGTTACTTTTGTAGTAACTTTCAGATATGGCATCAAACAAGACTACAAATGTTTATTTATTTACATCCTCTCTCAATATACAGTAAATTATATGCACACTGTACTGTTGCCCAACCACATTAATATAATTACAGTAATATTACGCCTCTTTTCCTTGAAAAACACTGCTGCTTCTGAACCATAAAATAGCATATGCTATTCAATGGTAAATAATTTTGTAAAGCCTGTTTGCTGAGATAGCCTGCGACACTTCAGAAAAAAAACAGTACTATGTAATTATTAGCAATATATTAGTGTATAAATTACAATTCTATTTGCATACGTACAATTAAAATTTACTACACATAATGCATTAGCAAATATCATTTAATCATTAATTTATTTACCAATCTGAACGATCGTAGAACAGATAATCCATCCACATTTGCCAGAAAAAGCTCCACCAAACTGAGGGTAACTATAAAGCTATCAAAAATATTCCAGCCAACTTGGAAATAATAAAAAGGATCCATGGCAATTATCTTGAGAACCATTTCTGCTGCAAAAATTCCAGTAAAAACCTAAAAGAAGAATATGTATTACTAATTTATAAATGATTACAAATTAGCTGAACCAGACGACAAAGAACAACTTAAACATGACAACTTTCTTACAGCAGAACATCAGTAAGGAAAATTATTGCAGAGAAGAAAAGTGTCAAAATCAAAATGAGCTGCAGTGCAATTTGATTAACTTTCAGTTAAGCTTGAGATGCATTTAGTATCTTGTGAAGAATAAACCATCTCTAATGCACCTCCTGTTTGCTCCCCATCTGTTCTATGTCTAAATAAAGGAATATTTCCCAGCAAGATAGATTACCTTGCCAGAATGGAAGCTGCTTTAACTAAATTGTAGGAGATATATGAAATGACCATAAAGTGGAGAGTGATATGCTATTAAATCAGTTCTTCAGAATTCACAGTGACAATGTGGATGCCTCCTCTTTGCTAACTGCAAAAAAAAAAAGGCCAATTTTGTCAAGGCTCACGTTTGAAGTTAAACTTTTCTGCTTCTGACAGGATACAGAGGAAGCATACAATGCTTCTGAAAAGAGAGGAAATCCATTGTATTTACTGTAAATGTGTGCCCACCTGCATCTATAGAGCCACATCAATCACGTTTTACTAGGAAGATAAATTATATTTTTAAAAAAATCAAGAATATTCAGTAAACTTTAAAACAGTTCAAAAAGCAAAAAAAAAAAAAAAAAAAAAAAAAAAAACAACTGCTGACACTATACAAGTACAAATGAACAACATCTATATTTGCTAAAAAACACCTGGATACTATTCAAGTAAGTGCTGACATTAATAACTTTGCAAACAAAGCTGAATATATTCTCAACTAGGCTGTACTAGAATTATGATTTTGCTACACTGCAATAATAAGAATTAACACTTATAATAAGCATAGGTGAGAAGTACAGCAGATGACCTGTAGTATTTCCATTATAAAAATACGAAAACAACCGAAACCACCTGCAGACCTGTTTTGTGGGGAAAAAAAACATCTGTATTTACATATACTCAATATAAAACACAAGTTCTTTGTATTCCAATTGTTATGGATCAGTCAAAGCAACGCTCTTAAATACAAAAATAATAAGAAAAATACCAGTGCAAAATAGTAAAGTAATATCCAACACTTCTGGTCTTTCGTAAGTTCCTCCAAAAGTAATGCCTCCTATCTGTTTCCATGAAAAGTACAAGAGATACAAAGAGCACAATAACACTATTTGATGGAGCAAATTCTCAGATACAAAACAGCATTTTTCAACATAGCCATCGTCATTACCTATGAATTTTCTCCAGCAATGAACAAAAGACTACATGCCACACTAGCAAAAATCTGCACCAGCAGACCCACTGTTACAGAGCTGCTGTGATAGTGTTGTTGCAAGGAAAATGTTGCCCATGCAGTCCATCTTTCTTCAGCTCGAGAAGATGGAAGCTAAAACGTACCGAATCTGGAAAATAAGATGTGTGTGTGGTAGGATAGTTCAGACTAGATTGGCAACATGATCCACTGTCTTCAAAATGGGGTCTGGCATTACTGTGTTGCAAGAGGAAGGCTGTCTTCTTCTCTGGAAGTACGAATGTTCACCTTGGTCAGCACTGCAATGCAGCAGTCAGAGTTAATGGCTTCTCCAGTTTCCAGGAAATCCAGAAGGATCATCCCATTCATATCCCAAAAGGCAGTGGAGATCACTTTCCATGCTGATGGCAAAGTGCATCTTGAACTTTTTATTGAGTGGGGAATCCATACATAGCCACACTGCCGACTGCTGTTTTTACTGGCTGATAGTGGTGACACCACATCTTGTCACTGTTAACAATGCAATCCAAGAAACTGTGACCTTCAACCTTGTATTGGTTCAATAGGCCCTGAAAAACCGACACATGATACACTTTTTGCTTCTGTGTACTTGTTGGACCCAGCTGAAACAAACTTCGCAGTATTCTAATGTTGCCACCATGTTTCCAACAGTTCGAAGCTGATATTCAGGTCCGTACACAGCTCCCTGATCATAATCTGTAGATTTCTACAGACAAGCTGCTCAAGATGTTCTTCACCTGTGTGTGCATGGCCATCCAGAATATGGCTTATCTTTCACATCACTGTCATCACTGTTGAAATGCACCATCCTCTGTCTCACTGCCCTCACATCCACTGGCAGGTCTCGACAAACATTCAGAAAACACTGATGAATGGCAATGGGTGCAATTTTTTCACATGGGGGAAGTTAGTTACACACCTTTGTTTCATACTCCCATGTCAGACTGCCCCTTTGCTGCCAAATGTCACAAGCAACAAAATGTAATGAAATAATGGTGGAAAGATTCAACCTTTATAACCATACCACCAATGTCTGCTACTGATGTTGTGAGCCAACATAATAAAGAGTGAAGGCATTATTTTTGGAGCAACTTTGTCATTAATGATGCTTACAGTAGAAAGGATCTAATTTAGCACCTTTGTTTCTTGTAATGCTGAATAAAATCAAATCAGATTTCTTCTTTTGTTTTCTACCATCCAAAATCTGATCGATGAAAAATATTTGCAGGAATGTCAGTAATGGAAACTATAGTTTTTAATGCAATTACCTCAAGCATTATTTTTCAACTACATTTAGTGCAATAAAACCTTAAACATGTGTTGTGTTCTGTTTTTTGAGATGATAATACTTTAATTATACTTTCTCCTTTAAATAGAATTCATTTTTATTCGATTACATATTCAGATTGCATCAAATAATATAGTTTGATGGACTTACCTGATTTCCTACTTTAAGTGTATTGTTAAAAGTCTCCGTCATTGGATAATGCTCCAAGGCCATAAACAGTGTGTTTAAAATTATGCAAATAGTGATAGCCAGATCAACAATTGGGTCCATTACAATAAATGAAATTACACTCTTCACTTTTAACCAAAACTCACAACAATTCCAAATTAAGTATGTGTGGGCAAACTTATACCAGCAGGGTGGACATTTTTGTCTGGATTCTTCGAGTTCTAGGGAGAAAAAAAAACAAACAAAAAAAGAAAAAAGAAAAAGAAAGCAGAGCAAACAAGTTGTGAATGAAGTATTTTTTGTTTTAATTGCTTTTTCATGTATATATCCCTGAGTCATTAATGATGTTCGGAGGAATCTTCAACTTAGATATAGTTGCAGACTGATAAGGTATTATAAAAATAGAAGAAAAACATTTAAGAATTTTTAGTAAAAGTTGAAAAAGTTGTCTTCTTATAACAACCTTGGTTTCAAAATTTATCATTATATGTAGAGATACTTTACTCAGTAAAACTTCAACATCACAATCATCACAAACATCAGCTTAATTACTTTCATGAAAAATAATATTAATTTCAGTTTTTGAAAACATATCAAGCTTTTTCAAGAGTGTTGTTAGTAATAATGTCACTTTCAAATAATCCTACAAAAAAAAATCTCTCTTTTAACTAAGGCCTAATCTTTACTTCAATATTATCTTCTTATAGTTAGTAGAATAATTCTTTCGGTAACTCTATTGCTAAATATTAATCACAGAACTGTAAGAGTTGGAAGGGATTTCTGGAGATCATCTCATCTAGCCTCCTCCACAAAGCAAGTTCCGTGGTGTAGGTTGCACACAAAATTGTCCTGGTGGGTTTTGAGTATCTCCAGAGAAGGAGACTCCACCACGTCTCTTTTCCGCCTGTTCCAGTTCTCTGTCACCCTCAAAATAAAGAAGTTTCTTCTTGTGTGAACTACATACATTTTATCTGTTATGTTTTTAGCTTAGCCTACCTATCAGATTCCTTCACTTCTTTAACTATGTACATGCGCTTCCCTCCTATCAATTATCTTCAAGGGCTATTTATTTTTTTGCCCGCTATACTTGCAACTGATACAATACATGCAGACCTATGACTATGCCAAGAAAATTCACTTATCTGCAGTTATAACACACCTTCCATTGTACTTGTGATGATGCCAGCTATACTCATGGCTCTTTGTCTTAGATTGGGATCCTCCAGCAAATCCATTGGTATTTGATATGAGCTTGAACGCCTCTTTTTTATTTCCATTTCTGTAGTAGTACTCTATGAAACAAATAGAATTAGGTAGAGGAGGAGGATAAACTAAATTCACCTTTAGAAATACTGAAAGAATAGGTATCAGAAAGACTCCTCAGTTTCACTGAATTCATAAATATATGCAACTTCCTGTTTGTGCAATTACATTAGAATTTTTTCCACTGTAACATAAACCTGGTATTTGCTTTTTAAGTGGGTATTTTCATATTATACTTCTGAATACTGTTAAGTAACTTATAAAGTACTAAAAAGCAGTTTTGGTATTTGATTTCCAAGTCACTACTGTATTATAATTAATTACCATTAACTTCATACTAAACACAAGTAAGCTTCTTTGCCAAAGAAACAAATCAAACCTGTTACAGCATGGGAACCAGAAAAAAAACCAAAACAAACAAACAAAAAAAAACCACAAAAAAAACACACAAAAAAAATCAGAGCTCCCAGTTTCATGCTTTCTTTATCAATACTTCAATTCCAAACCAGCTTGATCATAAGATACTTATAATAAGTGATTTATTTAAGCAAATTTCTGCAATAACAATTATTCTCTAAAAGTAACTTCTACAGATCAGCCTGGATCTTATTCTTAAAAACTAAATATATCTATACATTAAACAGCTATAATCTGATTGATTTTACAAATTTCAACATAAGAAATCACAGAAGACTGACCTATCTGACCCTCTAAATGGATATATATATATATATATATATATACATAAATTTTATCGTATAAAACTGAAGTTACAAATCTGAATTCTATCATTCATACATCTCAATTAAAAAAAAGTTTTGGATGTGCAAGCATGGATGGACCTATTCATACATTAAATAAATGTATGAAAATGAAAGTCTGAGAGAATTCAAGAAGGTTATAACTTTAAGTAATCTCACTGACGTACATTCAGATGCTGGGACCCAGGTAAGACCTCTTTGTTTTCGGGACCAAACCATTCATAAAAGCAGATTCAGGCAAAACAGAAGACTGACCAGAGGGAGAAAGTGATGAATTTGCACGTAAAATTCTTTAATTAGAGTCTGATCCTAGGCAGTGAAAAACTTTATAATCTCTGAGACTCAGAAAAATGTATTTCGGAGTACTAGAACATAATCCAAAAGGCTATGCTACATTTCCATAATATATGGTGAGGAAAAAAAAGTAAAAGCTAGCAGATTACTGGCAGAGAATTAGGAAATACTTTTAAATGGCGGCCAAAACTACAAGGAAAAAAAAAATCTAAATAACAAATGAAGAATATGCAGAGTTTAGAATGTTGACTACCCTAATTCTGGATTCTGAAACAGATTCAGCAGTGCAACATTATTTTTATTCAGTATAGAGATGCATGCATCTCTTTACTTGCTACACAGGTATACAAAAATATGTTATTTTGTTCTCTTTCATGTCCACGCTTCTTTTGAGTGAATCAATTTAAGAACATTTTCATTACAGTAAGACGCACAAAGGCATTCAGAATCTCTCGATCACCCCCCCAAAGCATTCAATTTCAACACAACATTCTCTGGTGCAATGAGGAAATATCACAAAATCTGGGGTACAAAAAATTTCCTTACATTGTCATCAGTTGTTGGTTTGTCTATTGTCACCTCTGGCAGAAGCTGCCCTGTAGGCGACAGGAGACATGAAGGTCTATCCACTAAAGAAACCACTCCATTGCAATCCACAGTGCTATGCATCTTCCCATTCACTGGAAACATTGTCAGCTTTCTTGACGATCTGCTGGCTTGACTAATATTACTACCACGTCGTTCACTGTGTCTCAGTGGTACAAAAAGAGAACCTCTTCTGCTTCCGTTATCGTCAAATGTGCTGTGTTCATCATCAGCAAAGTCATTTTCAGATCCTATCTCTTTTCCATGATCTCTAAAACTGAAAAGACTTGTTCTGCTACTACGTCTGGGGGAAAACAGGGAGCCACGAATGCTTAGTAAAGACTGTAAAAGAAACAAACAAATACACTGGCTGAGGATTTATAATATACAGTATGGATATCCATAATATTAATTTATATTCCCCAGGAATTTTCCATCTTTATTCTTAATACACTACCATAGGTACACTTCGGACGCATGCATGAGAGATGAGAATTATCTGAATAGGTAAATTTACAGTACACGTAAAACAATTTTTTGGAGAACAGAAGGTGAATATGCATGAGGCCACAGCAATTTCTATTTCTCTATTAGAGAGGAAATAAAGATTTTAGGCATTCTAATGATCCACTTAGACCATGTATTATGTTAAAAGATATCAAGTGCTTCATATCCATAGTCTTCTACATTGATATATTACATTTAAACTTTCCTTTTATGAATTACAAATGATTTGTTATTTCAAATGAACAATGAAAATGCTATACTGCCATGCACCCCGCTGAGAACCACCCAATCCCAAACTTTAAAATGACACTTGCAAGATGCATTTAGTACTTAAAATAATGAAAATTCTTTTCCTATGTTGTATTACTTTGCAAGGTTACAGTGAAGTTTTCTTAATATTACAGTTATCTCACAAATCCAACCAATAAAACAGAATGATTCACAGCACCTGGTGGGGTGATGTGAGCCGGGTCCCATAAGCAAGTTTATTGCCATCAAAAGAAAATCTGAAACCTTTCCTTCTCATACTGCCATCTGACTCGGATTTTGAAAGCTTTGTATCTTTCATGTTATCCTCTTCTCCAGAATGCTCCCTCTGCCTTCTTTTCTTCCGTCTATTTCTCCTTTCTTTGGCACTTTTTGAGCTAAGCTTGGATGCTTCAGAAGAACTGTCTGAAGGTCCACTTTCACCACCAAACTCTGTCATCTCTGCTGCAGCTGCCACTATTGCCTGTCAAAATAAACATTTTAATGTAACATTAAAAGGATATCTGAACTACCAGATGCTTTAAAATTACAAAATCCTTCAAGAATGCCATAGTGTTTATTTCTGAAGTTTGTATCATGACTTGTAAATATGTGACAAAAGCCTAGATAGATTTGTGTTTGAAAAAAAGGCAGGTATTTTTCTTTTAAAAAATACCTCAGCTTCCTCTTGCTGCCTCTTTAGCTGTTCAAGCATCTGCTGCAAGTCTGCCTCCCTCTGTTCTGCTTCAACCATAGTTGCTTGATTTTGTTCTTCATAGGCCATGGCAACCACAGCCAAAATCAAGTTAATCAAATAAAAGGAACCCAGAAAAATAACCAGAACGAAAAATATCATGTATGTTTTGCCAACAGCTCGTAACGTCTAGAAGAGAAGAAGAAAAATAATTCTTGGTGAAGACAAGCATCAATTCCACTATTCAGAAACACTGAGTATGAAAAGTGCAAAACTAAAATTCAGTTGTCCTTCTGTCTGTAGTATTATATAAAATTACCTGAATTACAAAGCAATGAAAATAAAAGAAGCTTTAATATATATGAAAAAAATTAAGGATCATGTTGCTTTGTGGCAAACCTACTTTAAAGCCTAATAGTCTTGAGAAAGAAGTGTGATCGGTGTAATTAATGTAAATCACACATCAAAGATTGGATGCTTAGTATACTTGAAGCATGTTAGCATGCCTTCCACTTGGAATAAAAAAAGAGTTAAAGATGGCACAAATGAATAAATAATTTTAAAGATAATGCTTACTACAACTAACAAATTTTCACATGCTATGTAATGGAAAACTGTGGTAAGAAAATTAGCTTATACAAAGTGCATCTTTTAAGTAATCAAAAACAGGATTAAAGGTGCACAAATTAAGATTCATTTGCATTTTGCTGTCAGAGAACATAACACTGTAAAAACCGAAGGCGATGAACAAAAAACCCTTGTGTACCTACTCAGAACTCAGAAACTATGTACAGATTTTGTACAAAGTGCCCGTAACTGCTTAATTCTGCAACTGAATTTGTTTCTAAAAGCTGCACTTACTCAGCTGCTGTTTATAGCTGTGATATATAACATGAACAATGGTCCTTTCCATGTCTGTTTTGGGGACAGTCAGACACTAAATAATTTTTACTATTTACTCACCAGCTGATAAAGATTTTCCCAGTAGTCCTGTGTCATAAGTCGAAACAGGGACAAGAAAGCCCAACTGAATGTGTCAAAGCTAGTATAACCATAGTTGGGGTTTTTACCTGCTTTCACACAGATAAACTCTTCTGGACATTTACTAGGAAAACAAAAGGAAAGACAAGCAAACAACAAACAATGCTTATAAAAGAACATATTAAATTTCCTTTTAAAATTATTGTACATTTACATTCTAATTAAGATTCATTAGATCTAATCTGGGAAGTGGGCCTCTGCTATGTGTTGCTTACAATTTAAAAGCCATTGAAGAAATAAACAGTGTTTTTATTTTAAAGCCAGCAATGAGCAAACAAATAACTGAAAATTCTTCAAAATTTCATTTTTATGAAAAATCTTTCATCTTTCATTCACAAAATGAAACTTGTTCCACTGCAACTGCCACAGTGATACTTTACATTTCTGAAACTGTATCTGTTTTGATATTAGGTGATCATTTGTCTACAGTAGGTACACCACCTCTGTCATGATTCTATTCCTGAAAAGGTAAAGATTTTTACACACAAGATATTTACACACATATATAGTATAAAATTATCTAATGACTTATAGGCATATGCAAAATGTCTACATAGAAAGATTAAGTATATCTGTTTTAAAGACAAAATTATCAAAAAACAACAGATGAACTGACATATCATAACAAACTAGAAATACATAATTGTTACAAATAATTGCTGCAAAGAAAGACTAAGGCAGTCCTGTGTATGAAGTCCACCAACAAAAATATAAAAGAGGTCCTCCCTCTGCTTTGAGTCCGAGTGCCTATTTTAGGGATGTAAAATGACATGAAGTCATTAATGTAGAAGTATGTTCTGAAGTAATTGATAATGCAATATCCACCTGTTGAAATAATATTTTTTCTAGTTACATTAGAGCTATAAAAATGAATTCACAGCAAAATATTTTTCTCATTTAATATTTCTAGTCATTCGAGTGCTTAGTTACTATGAACCACAAGCATATATCTTTGATTAATTAGTTAGGTCATTAAATTAGCTTTTTAAGTTTATAGTGGTATTATGTATCTTGCTGTTTACATTAAAGGGTAGTATGTAGTTTTTAGCATATCTTACCCTGCATCTGAGCTATTGCCACAAAGCAGATAATCCTTTTGTCCTTCTAGACGATAAAAATGACCTAAGGGAAAAGTAACGCTAAATTATTATAATTGAGCTAAGGAAGTAGTAGGCTGAATACAGCAGCAATAAAACAGTCAGAAGATGCATTTTTGATTTTTTAGGCCAACCCAAAAAACATCACCAAAAAGAAAACAAAACAAACTCACAGAACCAACTGCAGTGAAAGCTTCAAAATGGCTTCCACATAATTACCATCAGGAATGCAATTTTCTGTCATGAATTAAGTTATATAGTTACTGTATTTATACACTGCTGTTCAAGGTCTTCTAGTGTCACTATTTCCCATGTCCACTTTGTCCACATCATCTTTTAATTTTGTGTAACTACCTATGGTTTGCCCTTGTACACTAGGAGTGATCTGCAAACAAGTTATAAATCTCCGCAATGAAAAATTCATAGAAATCATAGAAATCATAGAATCACTAAGGTTGGAAAAGACCTAAAAGATCATCCAGTCCAACCGTTCGCCTATTACCAATAGCTCCCACTAAACCATGTCCCTCAACACAACATCCAGCCTTTCCTTGAACACCACCAGGGTCTGTGACTCCACCACCTCCAACCTCCCACCACCCTCCACCAACCTGATTTGAAAATTACGTGGGTGAATATATTTTTGTCAGTTCCCTTAGTTACAATAAGTCCTACAGATGAATACCATCCTCAACATAACGAACTTTTAGAATTTGTTTGCCAAGGAAGTTCTTTCATATCACAGATAGCAAAGGTATTCTTACTTCCACCCTATAATAAAGTCTATCTTAACTATAAAATCTCACATATTTGCCTAGCGTTCTTTTGTCTCAGTAACCTAAAGATAACCTTAAAAAGCACAGGAGAGACTAAGAGAATTTGTTTTGTTCAGCCTTAGGGAAATCTTGTTACAAATATCACATAGAAGACTAACGAAGCGTACTGTGAAAGGATAAGAGCCAACTAGCACAAGTTTGATCACAGGAGATTTTGAGTTGATATTAAAAAAAAACAAAAAACAAAAAAAAAAAACACAACCAGAATCAATTACAGTCATCAAACAGTGGGCTCCCCAGACGGGTTATGGTATCTCTGTCCTTGGAGAAAATCAAAACCTGACAGAAAATAACACTGAGCAGCCAGCTCTAACTGGATCTTGCAGCTGAGCAGCAGCTTAACTCTGAAGGCCTCTTCTAGCCTGTATGATTGTGCAATTCCAACATAACCCTATAAACATT